CCTTCAAGACGCCACGAGATTTTTGCTTGTTTCTGTTTCGGAGGAACCTTTCTTTGATCGGGACGTTTCCGGGTCGGATGGTTTAGGCTGATGGACAATTGATATGTTTACACGTGAGGTGACTCTGATGTTGTAAAATATTAGTTTAAATTCCAAATACCGCAGTTTAAAGTGTTATTACAACAATATTAAGACATTTACGATTTAGTATCCGTTTTAAAAATAATATTTATATCAATATGATAAAAGTAGAAGCAGTTTAATGATCGTTATCGAGCTGCCAAAGTGTTTGCTAAATTTTGTGAAAATCTTAGGTTTAAAATGGGAAAATTAAAAAAGAAGTACAACTGGAAAGGGAGGCAACAAAATGAAACTCGGCCAGCAACAGCAGAGAAGACTGATGTTGTTGTTGARATACAAGGTTTGTGTTTCTTTATAATTTTTAACCTGCTGTAGGTGTCCCCCCATCTGTCTTATTGTTTTGTTCCTTTGTTGTCATCAGATGGAGCTCAGCTGAAAGGTGTGGACGAGAGCAACGCTCTGGTTCTTCCAGCCTCCAGATCTAAGAAGAAAAAGGAAATATCAAAACCAGTTTCCACCAAGAAGCTGCTGACAAAGAAGCAGAAGAAAGAGCTGCAGAAGGTTCTGGAGCGCAAGGAAAAGAAAGCTCAGGTGGGAGAATATCTGAGAAACAGTAACTCACCTAGATATGTGACAACAAGAAGTTACCGAATTGTATTGAAATCCATTTTTTAAAAATAAAATTCAAGTATCAGAATAATAACAACTTTGTTAAAATATGCAGAATTTCTGGTTTGAATTGAGACAATTTGTATTATTTAAAAATGAATGTACTGCATTCTCTTCAAACTTTCACTTAAACCACCTTTTTTCCCTAGATGCACACCTTTGTTAACTTACATGTTTGTTTCTTTCTTTCAGAGAGGAGACATCCTGAATAAACTGGCTGAGGTGCAGCTTCCAGAGTCTGAGCTGAAACTTTTGTACACAACATCCAAACTGGGAACAGGAGAGAAACTTTATCAAAACAAACAGTAAGTTTCCAGTGCCTTCCTCTGAATGGAAACACATGCAGAGGTCTTTTTCAGAAGTCTCGGTTTAAAAAATACTCTCCTATAATTCCAAATAAAAGTTTTTTCCTTGCTTTGAATTTTAAGTTTTTATACACAGGAATTAAGTAAATAAAAATGTTTATTAGCTAGTTCAAATGTTGTGAGGCTCTACTAAAATATGGTCTTAATTGTCTGGATGTGTTTGTTGGATCTAAGTTTTAATGAAGACAGAAACAGTGATTTGTGTGGAGAAGTTGGAGTCAGTTTTTTTTTTTTAATAAAAAATTCAGGTCATCAGATGAAGTCGAGGGAGACTCTAGTACAAAAATCAGCAGCGTCAGCGGTGCAAACAGAAAGAGAAAATGGGAAGAAGAGGAGGAAGATAATGAGGAGCGAATGGCAGAAGAAAGCAGTTATGAGGATACATCATCTGAGGAGGAGGAGGTGAACAACACCATGGAGGAAAGTGGGTCTAAGGAGACCAGTCCTCGAAAAGAGACTGAAGCCAAACAGGAAGTGAAGCCCRAGCAGAAGGTCACAGATAAACCAAAAGTGAAGATTCCTGATCAGAAGAAAGTCATAAACAAAACGCCTTCAGAGCCGGCGGTCTTCATTCCCGTCGACAGGTCACCAGAAATACAGGTGCGTGACCGCACAGTAAACATGTTTAATTTATTTAAAAAAGTTGTTTTTTTTTTTTTTTTGTGATCACGTGTGACCCCGCTGCTGCAGGAGGCTCGTCTGAAGCTGCCCGTGTTGGCAGAGGAGCAGGTCATCATGGAGGCGGTGAGAGAAAATCCCTGCGTCGTCATCTGTGGGGAGACGGGGAGCGGAAAGACCACGCAAGTGCCTCAGTTTCTGTATGAGGCAGGTTATGCCAGGTAATTCATCCACTTTAAAGTTTTGTTCTTAACCAGAGAAAAAGCCTTCCATCATGAAAATGTTATCGTCTTGTTTCCTCCAGCGGCAGCGGGATCATCGGCATCACCGAGCCGAGGAGAGTGGCAGCTGTCAGCATGTCTCACAGAGTGGCCAAAGAAATGAACCTGCCCACACAGTAAACAAATCCGTTACTCTCTGTAGATACTCAGAAATACTTCAAAAATCCTCAAATCCACAGACATTAAAGAGCGTTTTTCTGTGGCTCCATTCAGAGTTGTGTCGTACCAGATCCGATACGAAGGCAACGTGACGAGCGACACAAAGCTCAAGTTCATGACGGATGGTGTCCTGCTGAAGGAGATTCAGAAGGTATCGTCTTATTTTAATCATCTTAATCATTAAAAACACAACAACAAGCTGTAGCCTGCAGGTATTGATGAAAGACGATTGGGGGTGGGGTATTAGTTCATTTCTTTTTGAAAAACAAAATCAATTCTATATACAATAAAAAATGCAAATCACAAATAAAATGAAAGGCATTAGAAAGAACAAATTTTGTCTTTTTTCCCCCAAAATAATAAATTCAAACAATAATAATCTACAAATAAAAAAACTAAAAATAGTGGCGTCCCAGAACAGATACCAGCATTTTTATCAGTGCTCACTTCAGTGTTACAGGTTACATTTCAAGTGAAAAGTTTGTCTTGTTCGTGTTAAAAAAAAAAAGAAAGAAAACTCAAGTTATGCCACACTATAATGAATCTGTTTATGGTTCGTTCTTTTGTTTTTCTTTTTTTATTTCAAAATAAAATAGCAAAAAGTAAACAACTGTGTTTTTTTTTGTTTGTTTTCAAAATGATGAAAAATGTGAAATCGAACTAAGAAAAAAACCGCAGTATTTAATTTTTGCTTCACTTTGCTAAATCCAAATTAAATATGGTTTTTGTTTTAATATGTAGTGATACAGGAAATGATGGCGTAGTTTATAGTGGCTGCTAAAAAACATAAACATTATTCTGGAAGATCCTGGCTCCTCTTGAACCTTATGTTATAACTTGGAACGTGTTGTAGGAACAAAATTTAAAATGAGTGAATATTTGCAAGAAAACAATAAAGTTCATCCATTTGAACTAGGGGTGGAAATTAAAAAAATTCCCCACCAGCCACAGTGGCTGGTAGAAAAAGTTTTGTACCGGCCACTCAAACTTTTTACCAGCCACTATTTTTTGTTTTGTTTTGTTTTTGTAACACGGTGTCATTTAGACAATTCATGGTCTTGGTGGCCTAATTAAATTGTTTGTGCTACAATCAGATAACGGCACTCAAAATCTATTAGTATTCAAGCCAGCCTGTTTGCCCAAAATTAAAATGATGGACTTTTTGACATGTCTACTTCTCGGACCACACAGATGACAGTGCGCAGGAAAGGAGAATTTATTTCTAGCTGCAGAGTGGGTTGGAAGATGATGTTATTTAATGTTTTTTAACGTCCTACAGGCTCTGAAATGCAAAATAAAAATGAAACTGACGTTTTGACAAAGGTCAGTAGCGCGATTTGAATGCARTTCTTTTTTAGTTCATTACACACCCGCCACGGTGGCTGGTGCGTTGTTCAGATCTACACGCCACTTCGTAATTTTACCCTCATTTGGCCAGTGGCGGGTGCTAATTTCCTCCCCTGATTTGAACATTAAATATCTTGTCTTTATAGTGTGTTCAGTTGAATATAGTTTGAAAAGTATTTAAATTCATCTTATTCTGTTTTATGTTTTACACAACGACCCGACTTCATTGGAATCTGGGCTGTAATAATGATATTTGCATGTCTCCAGGACTTTCTGCTTCAGAGATACAGTGTAATAATCATAGACGAGGCTCATGAACGGAGCGTTTACACAGACATCCTCATCGGGTTGTTGTCTCGTATCGTCCCGCTCAGGATCAAGGTAGGACACGCCTGCTGAATGTAACCCCTTCCTGTGTCGTCGCCCGGACGTTTTTAATCTCTCTTCCTCTCACTCGCCCCGCAGAAAGGCGTGCCCATGAAGCTGCTGATCATGTCGGCTACTCTGCGAGTCGAGGACTTCACGCAAAACCCGAAGCTGTTCAGGACGCCTCCGCCTGTGGTCAAAGTGGACGCCCGGCAGTTTCCCGTCACCATTCACTTCAACAAACGAACTCCGCTGGAGGATTACACCGGAGAGGCCTTTCACAAGACCTGCAAAATCCACCGGATGCTGCCTCCAGGTTTATTTACTGCCAACAGCTTCATGTAGAAGATAAAAAAMGTTTTCTAAATACGATGTTGTGTTTCTGTCCTTCAGGGGGGATCTTGGTGTTTCTGACGGGTCAGGCTGAGGTTCACAGTCTCTGCAGAAGACTCAGAAAAGCTTTCCCCTTTAGGAGAGGCAACGCGACCACCGGTGCGGGGTCAACCTCCTCACGTGTACGCTTACCTCTCTAAGCAGGCAAAAAAAAAAAACTTCTCAATGTTTCTCTGTTTTTGTTTGCAGCTGAAGATGAGGACTTGGACTCGTCTGAGGCCATGAGGAAGTTCAAGAAGGCCAAACAGAAGAAGGCTGTTGTAAGTCTTACTGTTGATCACTGCATCAGGTTTTGTCCTGAAGACTTTTGATTTTAGAAAACACTACACCCTGAAGATCCAGTAAGGATGTTTTAATTATTTACATATCATATTTTAGCCTTGTTAGTGTCTATGTAAGCTGATTTAAGATTAATTGAGCAGCAATTTCTACCTCCCTCCTGGCTAATCTGTTTGTTTTCACACTAGACCTAAAATAAGACACTCACCTACTTGACTTTATTGCTCTTTTCATAACGTTTAAAGTGTTAAACTCTGATTTTAGTCTCTCCCTCGGATTGACCTGGATAACTACTCAGCCCTGCCRGTGGACGAGGGGGACGAGGACAGAGATGCTGGGATCGGAGACAAGGAGGACGGAGACTCAGACCTCGACCTTGGAGACAGTCCTGCTGATGCTGGTGAGTTAATCCAAACACTTTTTATTTTATTTTATTTTATTCAGACTGATGTTACACAGAGGATCTTTTAAGGGTGAGAAGGTAAAACATATATTTGRGTTTCTGAAACCTCCACCAACTTAAAAACTTCTGAATTATGTAACCTGGACATTGAGCTGAACAAATCCTGTCTAATTTTCTTTATTTTTTACCATCCTAAACATTAAAATATGCTGCGTTTACTGGACCTGAGGATGATCAAACCTATTGTTTCTAATGCTGTTTGCTTTAYGGGTACACACCAACTTGATGACAAAAACAAAGTTATTTTATTGCAGTGATTAATTTTACCTAWATGTAGAAAATGTTACATTTACATCACATCATGGATCAGTCAGCAGCAGCAGTCATGATGTGATGTAAATGTAACATTTTCTACACTTAACTATAACTAATCACTGCAATAAAATAACTGTTTTTGTCACTTTTATGGTGGGTTGCATCAACTCTGTTACATTACAGAAGGGAAACTTCACCAAAGTGAAACATAAATCTG